GTCGTGGGGCCTGAACTCTGAGCCTGGGCGCTGTCCCTCAGCTCGTCAGCTCAAGGCTAGCACTCTACCACTTGAGCCACAGTGCCACTTCCGGCTTTTTATTTTCTGCTTATGTGGTGCTGAGGAATCGAACCCAGAGCCTCAGGCATGCAAGGCAAGCACTCTACCACTGAGCCACCTTCCCAGCCCCACAATTATCCTTTTTAAGGGTAAAAATCCTAAAAAATTAAACTACAAAAGGGTGAAAGGTAATGTTCCCACACCACTGTCTCTCCACAGGCTAATCAGTTCAGGCATCTTCTTGCAATGGCCTATTGTAGCAATGCCCCATTATTGCAAATCTCCTGTGACATAGGGAAATTCTATCCTTTTTTAAACTGTTCCTGAAATTACTTAGTGAAGGAGGAAGAAAGAGCAGAAACCCTTCAGCTAAAACTGCAGTAAGTTTAATTATTTCTATATTTTTGTTGGTGGTGGTAGTGGTAGCCTTGGTGCTATTCCTAAGCTTTTTCCCTCAAAGGTAGCACACTACCACTTTGAGCCACAGCTTCATGTCTGGTTTTCTGATGGTTAGAGATAAGAGTCTAATGGACTTTCCTGCATGGGCTGGCTTTGAACCATAATCCTCAGATTTCAACCTCATGAGTAGCTTAGATTTCTGGTGTGTCACCAGCAGCTGGCTTTCTTTCAAGTGTTTGGGTTTTTTTTCTTTGTGCGTTGTTGTTTGTGTTTGGTTTTTGGTTTTAGTTTGTTTTGTTGTGGGGTTTTTTGTCAGTTGTGGGGCTTGAACTCAGGACCTGGGCTAGCACTCTACCACTTGAGCTACAGTACCACTTTCAGTTTTTGAATGGCTAATTAGAGCTAAGAGTCTCAGGGGAACTTTTCTGCCCAGGATGGCTGTAAACCACGATCCTCAGATCTCAGCTTCCTGAGCAATTAGGATTATAGGCATGAGCCACTGATACCCAGCTTTTTTCAAGTTTTTATTTAGGTTCTATTCTATGAGAAAAGTAGTCAAAGGAAAACCAGGGTTGGTGCCAATTGAATACCATTTCATTGAAATCTCCATTGTGCCCTAAACCACTGGCTCTAGACATAGAGTACAACATTTTCCCAAGAGGAGACGCTCCCAAATTTCCATTCAGAATATTTTCACTGAACTCTTAAGAGTATTGAAACACATGTCAAAGATAGAACTGACCGCTGTGCCTGGGATTCAGGATGCTGTGTTGGTTTCTCACTTTTCTGCATTATTTCCACAGAACACCTGAGTAGACTAAGTAGTGTATAGTGGGAATTCAATGTTTCCGAAGACGGAAATCTGAGAATTTTCACAAGCCCTGGGGCTGGAGGTAGAGGGAATAAAAAGAAAGGCAGAAGGAAGAAGAAGACAGGCTTTGGAGCAGACGATGGTAAGGAGCAGAACTGTTGAGGGGGCCTAAAGAAATCACAAAGCAGCCTGAAATGGAAAAACTGAAGAGAGCCATGAGACTATGGAAGAAGCTCAGTAGAGTGATTTGTACAGGAAATGGACAGGGCCAATCTGGAGTTGCTGCCATTTTATTCAGAAGGTCAGAAATAGATAAAATTAAGTAAGGTTCAGAACTGATTTTCTCCTATCAGTCCACAAAGATTAAAGGGGGAGAGTAGCAATGGGACTTAAAACTCTTACATCTACTACAACCTTCACAATATAGTTTTTTGCTAGCTCTCATCTTTAATACCATAGCTTGATATGTTGAAAATATCCTTAATATAATTGTGGTCCTGAAAACCATGATGCTTACTACCATTATGGCCTTCCAAAAAAAAACAAATATTTGGCCTTCTCTATAGAATTACATCACATCTAACTTTCAGTACAAAATGACTAATTTTTCAAACATGTTTTGTTTATGAACCTTCAGTTAATGAACTTTTGGGATAACATATAAAAAGACTGAAAAAAAGTAAAATGTATGAACAATGAAGTAAACACAAACATCAAAACATCTTGTCAAAGCTCCAGCCCACATAAAGAACAATGCAGGGGCTGGGAAGGTGGCTCAGTGGTAGAGTGCTTGCCTTGCATGCATGAGGCCCTGGGTTTGATTCCTCAGCACCACATAAGCAAAAAAAAAAAAAGCCGGAAGTGGCGCTGTGGCTCAAGTGGTAGAGAGCTAGCCTTGAGCTGAAGAGCTGAGGGACAGCGCCCAAGCCCAGAGTTCAGGCCCCACGACCAGACCCAAAAAAAAAAAAAAAAAAGAACAATACAGTTTATAGGTTATTGGCAAAGGATGCCAGTGGTCTTTCTGCATGCCAATCAAGGAAGCTGCTATATGCCAACTGCACAAATACAATTTACAATTCACTCAGCCAAACAGATTTAAAATTATTCAACTGTAAAACTATTTTTTTATTTGGAGGAGTCAGAGTACTTCCAAATTTTTATATAAGGTAAAGCCTTATTACTATTTTTATATCACATCCTATCTGTATAATTCCTAAGTGCACAAATAGAATCATGCCATGCCATATTCATTACCATATTCATTTCTTAATAGGGATTTTATCTGAAAAAGCAACCTTATGCCTTTTTTCTTTTTCTGTTGAATCCTACCTACGCATTTCCTCTTTCTCTACCCAAAATTCTCAGCCAATATGAGCTGTTAATATATCTGATGATTCTACAATGTACCATTTCTTGCCCTAGCCAACTCTATATCACAATGAGAACATCAAATGGGCATCTCAAAATTAACATGGTTTAAACAGAACTCTCGGTGCCCCTGTCTGCTCCTCATTACAATGAATGGCAACATCATTTACCCAAGCAAAATACTGCATTTATCTTTGACTCTTCTTTCTCTTCATACCCCCATAGCAAAGCCAGCAGGCTCTACCTTCAAAATGTATCCTGAGTCTGATCACTTCATACCTTCTGTCATCACTACATTGATCCTGTCATTTTATACCTTCCCTGGACCAATGAAAGAACTTTCTATAGGTTAAGTGAATATCCTCTTATCCTCAAAATTTATTCTCCACTCAAGATCCAGAGGAACAATTGTACAGCACAAAGCTGATGTCAACTATTATACTCAAACTTTTCAGAGTAAATCCAAACTCATTATCATGACCTATACAATCTGACTCTACCAACAAACTTGATTTTATTCCAAATCACTGTACCTTCCCACAACCACCTTCAACTGAAGTCCAGAAGCTGGCTGCCTTCCTCTTCCTCTATCAAGCCAAAAAACATCCTAGGTCAAAGGCTTTTCTTCTCATTTGACGTTCCTCTGCCTAAACACCACCCTTCCTCTTCCTCCTCCTCTGTAAAAAGTCTATTTCTACCTCTGTTTCTCTCTCTTTTTCTTTTCTCTCCATCTTCCCCCCGCATCTTGTTTTATTTTTTCATAGCACTTATTACTACTTGAAATTACACTTTCTATTTAGTCATTTGTTTATTTCATTCACAAGCCAATAGTATACACTTATATGATACAATAAGGTATATGGTATTTTTCTAAGAGCTGGAGATATATAGCAGTGAGTAAACAAGCAAAGATCCCAGCCCTCAGGGGGCCTGTATTCTTAGTTATTCAAACCTAAACACTAGAGAGTAGACACACAATCCAACTGTAACCAAAAATGAAGCCCTATAAAGTACCTTAGCCTAAAGTAGATGTTAACACATGTATGCTGAATAGATGAAATGTCCTGCCACCTGCAGCCATCTGTTTCCGAGAAAACTCTTAACTATAGAAATCTTCCTTTCTACCAAATGGGATACAAAGCTGGGATCTACCAAATCCCATTAAGATAAAGCCAACTTCTGTGGCTGTGTTGGGTTCCTACCCCTGGGTCTGCCTATCTTGACTGCCCTTTCATATAACCCCCCAGTGACTATATCACTAGGATTTGTTTCATCAGGTCACAAGAACACCTGACCCACAGGGTGGGAGCTGAGCAATCAGTCATTATTATTAAACAAGCCGTCTTCTGGCTGAGATCAAGATACATGGGTCATATTCTATCCTTGGCTTATGGCAGTCCTTCCAATCAATAGCTCACCACTATCATTTCAACAACTCTTGTCTCAGCACTGAACACAATGTTATAAAGGACAGGTTTGCCTATTTCAACTTCTATGGAGGTCAGACATTTGGCTGTGCTGAGAAAGTTCATTGCTGAGAACACTTGTAAACTATGAATGACCTGATCTCAAATAAAAATGAAGGTAGTCATGAGATACAGTTAATTCTTCTTTGAAAAAAATGGAAGCTACAATGGTAGAAACAAAAGGTAGAAAAATACTTATCTCTTAAAAGGACTACTCTGGAGGCCTTAAAATATAGGTATTTAAAACCCATATTTCTAACATACATGCATGTGAAAGGAGTGTTCACATTTTAGTGTATCAGTTGTTAGATGTGCCCTGCTTTAGTTCCTTCTCAGGAAGTAGTTAGGGAATAAAAACTTAAAAAAAGAATAGCAAAAGCCAAAGGAAGATGCTTCCATTTGGTAGTGATAGGCTAAGAGTAGTAGCTATTTCTTCCTATCCCTGAGATTCCAGCTTAAAAAGGTGTGTTAATGAAGTTAATAAAGTAATCGACACAGGCGAGCCCAACAGTACATGTTATATCTCATATCATATCACATTATATCATCATATATTTGACCATCACTTCATTCCCTTTGAAGCATTTTCACATACATTTCCTCCCTTAGTCTTCAAAGCAAGCAACTCTGCTTACTTTGAAGACTATAAACTGGATACAAACAGGGCAACATAAACAGGAGGTATAAACAGAGCAACATACTTCTCTGAAACACTGTAAGGTCAATTTTCCTAAGATCCCACCGTAAAGACAGCAGAACCTAGCTATACCTAGACACAGTACATGGTCTTTTTTCTACAAGAGGAAAGGAAGCATAGTTCCGGAAAAATCACATTCTACAGGCAACGGCAAATATTTCTCTTTACTGAGACAGAAGTTGGAGGGACACATATTTACCAGTGGTTTAAGGTGGCAGGAAGATGCATTGGGCCTGAAGCTCTAGGCAGAGAGTCTTTTACAAATTCTTCCTATGGATGTCAATTCCTGCAATGACAAACAGACAAAATATCTGGTATGAATAAAAGACACACGATGACCTGACTTCAATATGGCTTTCTATACCCAACTGCCAGGCACCCCATTTCAGCTCAAAGTCACCATCCTCCTCTTCTAACCAACTGCTTTTCCCCACCCTGAATTTCCCACAGAAGAACAAAACTTTCAGTGGACAAAACAGAATTAACTGCTAATGATGAGCTGGTGCTAAGTAGCAGCTCCCCTTCATAGACAGGCTTGATCCCTCCAAAAGGCCATTATCTCTACCACTTCCCATTTATTTCTATTTATTTATTGTGGGGCCTGAACTTAGGACCTAAACTTTGTTACTCATGGCTGGCATTCTAGATTTGAGTCACACTTTCAGGACCAGATTTTTGCTAACTGAAGATAAGTCTTGAGGATTTGTCTGCCTAGACTAGCTTTGAACAATGATCCTCAGATCTCAACCTTCTGAGTAGCTAGGATTATGAGACACCAGCTCTTAGCTCCTGCCTTCTCGATACAAATAAGAACTGTGATTGCCATTTATCATCACCTCTGCTTTATAATTGTTGTTTCTTTGGTTTTTTGTTTGTTTTTGGTGGAGTTTTTTTTGTTTGTTTTTTATTTTTTTTGTTGGTCATGGGGCTTGAACTCTGGGCCTGGGCACTGGCCCTGAGCTCTTCAGCTCAAGGCTAGCGCTCTACCACTTGAGCCACAGTGCTACTTCCAGTTTTCTGGTAGTTTATTGGAGATGAGTCTCACAGACTTTCCTGCTGGGCTGGCTTTGAACCGAGATCCTCAGATCTCAGCCTCCTGAGTAGCTGGGATTATAGGTGTGAATCAGCAGCGCCTGGTAATAATTGTTCTTCTTTTTGTGGTTGGTCGTGGGGCTTATGCATTATAGTTTTTACAGAACTTAAAATATTTTCCTCTACTAAGATTCCAACAAAAGTAGGTAAACTGAAGAAAAAGGAGCCAGGTTCTAAAAAAAAAATAATAAGGTGCATACAGCAACTCAAGCTAATACCCTCACATCTGTAGACATCAGCAATCCCTGAAGAAGGGAAAGAGTCCAATTTTCACAAGTTAAGTATAGTCAGGAATCTGGCTTGCGTAATCCCACAGTTAAAAGCATAAGCACATCTAGAACCTAGGTCTCTCCCCTGCCAATCGAGGACTCTTTTACTACCCATTGAGTAGCAGCTTGAAAATGTATAGCAAAAAATAAACCTAATAATACACACATATACAAAGTCAAAGAAATACAACTGAAACATCCCATTTTCTTCCTACTAAAATATTTATCATTCCTTTATATATTACCAAAGAATATAATAGCAAATCATCAGGTTCTAAGGGTTTATTTCCCAATAGGTCATTTTTCAATAGTTTCAACTCCAAGAAAGCAAGAAAAAGGAGAGGAGGGAAGAGAAAAGGAGGAGAGGGGAGGGGAGGGGAGAAGGGAGAAGGGAGAGGGAATGGAGGGGGAGGAAGAGAGGGAATGGAGGGGGAGGAGGAGAGGGAAGAGGGAGAGGTAGGAGGGGGAAGGGGAGGGGAAGGGGAGAGGAGAGGGGAGAGGAAGAGAGGAGAAAAGAAAAACTCCACAAATGTCATGTACTCATGTACCTATGATTTCAAAAGTACTTAAATGTCTCAAACTGTCCAGAACATTCTTTATGCTAGAAAATTCTCCCTTGGTATGCATCTTAAATATAGGACTGTAAGTAAGGTCTGTTACGTAAATTAAATAGGTAAGTTTAATTAGGTAGCTGATAAAAAGAACATCATATGGTATTCAGGCAGTTTATTTATTCAGAACTGCCCTCCCCGCCCCCACCCCCGCCCTTCACAGCCGCCCAAGCCCAGGTCCCATCTGGGTTTAAGTGTGAAAGGTCAGAGAGATAGTTCTGGGGCCAGGTGAGGGAAGGTATGGCACAATCAGATGTGGATGTGACCTCAGGGCCTAGGATCCTCCCTGGAGACCTGGACACCAAGCACAGCAGAAGTAAAAAGACACTTCTTCCTAGCATGAAGAGAGGCCAAGTTTGATTGGAAAGGGACCATAGAGTATGGTAGAGAGAAGGCAGGAATCTCAAACCATGGGATTTTGCCAGAAGCAAAAGCAGGGAGGTATGACAGTACCTTCTATTTGTATTATCCAGATCTCCTTTGTATTTTTCTTTTACCAGGACTAGTGCTAGAAATCAGTGCCTCGTAGTTGCTCAGTTTGCTTGGCCCACAGCTTGACGCCCACTAGCTGGGCTATATCTCAGCCCAACTTTTTGCTGGTTATCTTAGAAATGGAGTCTCACAGATTTTCTGCCCAGGCTGGCTTTCAAACTGCGATCCTCCAGATTTCAGCATCCTGAGAAGCTAAGATTACAAGGAGCACCCAGCTCATCCGTATCTCTCATTACCTCATATATCTTAAAATTCCTATACCTTCTGCTGAGACTTTTATATAGGTCTACATTGCACACTCTCAGAAGTACATTTTGCCAAATTTCCATAACCAAAATACAATTCCATTTTTCTGGCAATGCCTATTTATAACTTCCTTGGAATAATCAATGTTGTCCCAGAGCCTTCTATGACCCTCAAAAAATAGTGGTAAAAGTTTTGACCCTTTGGGGGTTTTCTAAGAAAAGAGTAAATAATGATTTTTCCTTGGGCCAGTCATAAAACTACCAAGCCTATTCCCATCACAAGGCTTGGACTTCCATAGCCAAAAACTACTAAGTATTCAAGCCTCTTCAAGGAGAATGTTCATGAAAAAGATCCCAGGATAGCTATCCATCAAAATCCACAAATGGAATTTTTCTTCTTACATTAAAAAAAGATAAGCCAGTAACCCAAGCTGAGATAGAGTCAAAGGACAGTAGCTCAACAAACAAACAATCCTGAAAGTGCCTAAAAAGGAGTAAAGGCCAAATATGTGACCATGGTTAGGATTCAGAATTCAAGGCCAGTATGAGGAAACAACAAGGCAGAGTCCACCTGAATTCTAGGAAGAACTGCTCTAGATTTATAGCTGGTGAGCAGGTACCAAATTCTGACTGAAAACAAAAATCACTTGGAGGAGTAAAAACAATTAAAATAAAAATAAACTCCCTAGCATCCAGACCCAATAAAACAAAATCTTTGGTTTGGAGGTCCCCAACAGAGTCAGTACAAAAGCTTCCTCCCAAGTGATTCTAATGCTAAGCAGGAAAAGTCTATACCTCACCTCAGAAGTTCCAGAACCATTAGGAATCATTCATTGAACAACTCCAGACAAGATCCAAGGATCAGGTTTTAGAGGAGGTATACATTCTTCATGTATTTACTCACTCTGCATCACATTCTGACAGCCACTGCTTAACTTTAAGAAGAAATTATTGTTGTTATAAAGGTGATATACAGAGGGGTTACAGTTGCATAAATCAGGTAGAGTACATTTAACTCTTTTTTAAAATTCTAAATAAATACAAGGGCTAGGATGTAGCTTGGTGGCAAAGCACTTGCATAGCAAGTGCAATGTTCTGGATTCAATCCTCCATACCAAAAAGAAAATAATAATAACAATAATGCAGTTAAATAAATACAAAACAATGCCAGCTGCCAGAATAACAATCAGGTACATGGAGAGGGCCTTCATTTTTGCCATAGTCCTTCATGTGCTCAATATCAGCACCCTCAGATAAACTAGGGGACTGTCTCAGGCCAGGAGCAGATCTACATCTTCAAATACCTATGTAGGCTATCTCTGATAGGACAAAGATCTAGGGACATCTAGTCATCAAGATGGCCTTCGAGGAACAGCTCCAAGGCCCATCAAAAAGCAGGATACTGTAGATCAATGCAGTGAATGGACACCTGCCAAGCCAGTTGAGCACTTCTCCTTCCAGATTTTCACTTTGTGGTCAGGTAACAGCTTGAGCAATCCCAAGCCAAAAATGGAAAAGTAAATGTGTGGGTCACAATGATGACAGATCAGAGGAAGCTGCTTCTCTGAATGGACCAGCTTGAAGAGATTTCCTCTTTGACCTTACTTGGTACCATCAGATGACTTCAGGGACTCAGCAACAGAGAAACCGATAGTTGCCTAAAGTCAGCCTTCCTGATCGCAAGGCCCAGCAGCAATCCATACTACCTCCAACAGACCAAGGAGTCACCCTGAAGCATGCTCTTAAGCTAAGGATCTCCTACTTGAGCTACAAAGTACACTTAGAAGAGCTTGTGTGAGGCCAGGAAGTGGTGGCTCATGCCTGTAATCCTATCTTAGAAGACTGAGTTCTGAGGATCATGGTTCAAAGCCACTCTTGGTAGGAAAGTCCATGAAACTCTTTTATCAATCGTCAAAGTTTAAAAAGCCAGAAGTGGAGCTCCACTCAAGGTAGAACACCATTCTTGAGCAAAAAGGTCTAGGGGACAGTGCCCAAGCCCTGAGTTCAAACCCCAGTACCAGACAGAACACACACACACACACACACACACACACACACACACACAAATATGTGTGGAAGAGGAAATCTAGGGAAAACTCAAGTAATATATCTCCCCTCATTTTTTTAAGAAATGCATTCATTTTCCTTGTAATTGTGTTATTTCCTAGGCTGAAACAAGATATTTCTCTATTGCTCCAAAATATACCATTTTTTTGTTTGATAACCTATCAGAGCCCTTGAGCTCTCACTTCTCTCACTTATCCCAATTTCTACCACATCCCCAAAGTAAAGAGCCATAACTTGGCTTTAGTGAAAGTCACTTTAGCCACCCTCATTCCTATCAAAACTCAATCCTGACCATTCAACCTGCTCTGGGTCAACATGGTACCCCATGTTAAATGTTCTCACAGCATCATGCATGTCTCCTGCACAGAAAAGATCACTTATATTTCATTTTTCCTCAAACCTGTGGATGGACAAAGATCTGTGGTATTTTTGCTTTGCTTCTTTGTCGTTGCTGTTTTTAAGTTTTAAAAAGCAAATCATTGTATCCCAAAATAGTGTCCTGAAACTCTT